GGACTTTAAAATGAACACGCTGTCAGGACGCTCCTGCTCCTTTAAAACACACCGGTCAGAGACACTAAGAAGGGACAGCAGCTCAGTGTGGAGCCTCATCAAGTGGGCTCTGGCTGAAATCATCCCTTTAACCAGCTGCTAAGCAGCAGGAAGACAAGTGAACAGACGTACAGAGAAAGAAATGCAGATGTGAACCGGAATGCCCTTCGGCATGCAGGCTTAGACCCCCCCCCACTTATATTGCAAAACATATTTTAAAAAGCAGTTGGAAAATGAATAATTCAAAGAAGTGGCTCTAGATATTTCCCAGAAATAAGAGTATGACAGTGTTATCACTAGAATCAATGCTATCAGGGGAGGCTTGCACGTTAAATCAGCTGGAAAGTGCTCCCAAGTGTGACTGAAGGCATCAAGGATTGATGGTGTAACCCCGAGCTCTGTATGGATTTAGGGTTTATGGTGGGCTGGGGGTTTTGTTCTTGTTTGGTTTTGTTTTGTTGTTTGCTTTTGTTTTTGCATACCTGTGCTCTCTATTACCATAATGCATTGCGATCTATAGGACTTCCAAGTGGATATAAAAAAGCACTAAGATCTGGAGTTTAGATTTCATGGATTCAGTCGTTTTCATCAGTTCTCTTGCACTGAGATGCAACACCTGATACCCACAGCTCAAAGGAGGAGAGGTTTCTTGTGGCTCACAGCTTGTAGAGAAGTCGGTTCATAGTCGGCTGGCTCCAAGACAGGTGGCACGGCAGGGGGCAGCTGCTGACAGCAGTGGTGACAGTGAGCAGAGGCCCCAGGGGGCCACACCCCAGTGACTCATCTCCTCCAGCCTGGTCCCACCTCCTAACACCAACTCAGCTGTGAGCCCCCAGATCCCAGTCAGCTCCCAAGGCCCCACCCAGGAGGGCGTGAGGCTCTAGGGGACATGGAGACAGAAACCGTAACATAAACCCACCATTCTTCCCATCACTGTTAAATAATAAAAGAGAAGCTCAGGAAATGGCCTGGGAAAGCAGAGCTACCCCGTCTCAATTCCCCGGGCCTTGCCTCATGCACTGGCTTCTTGTATTTTATAAGAGATGATGAACTGAGTTAAATGTGTGTGGTTCCTCCTTTCGCAGGACAGCTGGATGGAGCAGAGAGCTGCCCATCTGAAGGGCAGGACTTTATTCACACAGTAGACAGAATGAGAGGCTTGGCCGGCACATGGAGACCTTGCCTTTCCTGTAAATCACAAGCCTGTGCCTCACCCTCTAACTGATGCGGTCCTGGGCATAGACACAGATAAAGGTCAGGGATGCACTGGCCATGTTTCAGCTGCCACTCACACCTCCAGGCCAGAGAGCTTTGCACAGTGCACAGGCTGCACACAGAGACTCAGACTACAGAGCAGCAGGCATGGGCAGATGGGTTGCTACCACCTGAGAAAGATGCCTGGAGGGAACCACTGGGAAGGGCCATTCAAGATCTCCCTGTCAGTCCTCCAGGTTACTATCTCTCACCCACAAGCATGGGCAGCAGAAGTGTTTCTTTGTGAGGAGTTTTATTTCTAATCTTAAAATATTTGCAGGTGTCTCAAGGGTAGGATCCAAGTCCACTTTTGTTTCCTATACACCTTTAGTGCACCTGTGTTTTAACTGGGATTCAAGGTGAGGAATTTTCTACTCATGCCATTATGTTGGAGCTCAAAAAGTTCCAGGTTCTGGCACATTTCAGAATTTGGCTTTTTGGGTAGGTTCACTCAACCTGCACTCTTGAGGTTCAAGGGTACCCCATGGTGGTGGTGTCTCCTTTTCAGTAGAGAACAAACTGCAGCTTGAGAATGTGACCCCAGGGCTGTGGGCTGGTGTGTGAGTATCTGCATCTGCAGCCTCCAAATCCACTGTCTCCCGCCTGAGCTGCTGCAGACAGCTTTGGACTGGACCCTGATAGTCCACACGGGAGAATGGACATGTGAAAAGCAACCTTTTCGGGAGCCAAACAGAACCGTATTTCTCCAAGCCTCCTGTGTAAACACACACAGAGGTGACACAAAGGCAGAAGTGCCACCTCCAAGTGTGCAGAAGACCAGCAAAGTCTGTATCCTACGTGCTTCCTGGGAGAAGCTCTGCCTCCGCTGTGCAGAAGGAAGTGTATGCCCTGGACCCGAGTTCCAGAGCTTGCAGAAGTGGCAGCCAACGCACACACTCACACACCTCTCTTTGGGAATCTGAATCCAGAGAAAGGCACGCTCCTCACCCAGCTAACCAGAAACCAACTTTAGGTTAGGGCCCTGGTATTCTCTTCACCCGCATGAGCTTCTCCATCTATGGAACATTCTAAGAAAGCACAGCTCGCAGCAGAGATGTGGCACACAGGGTACATGGACACATTGCAAATGAAAGGAAACCGAGGCCGGGGAGGAGGGGAGCAGAGGTGCAGGTGTCAGGTGGGAGGAGCCCAGGAACCCTGGCTCGGTGCAGAGCGACCACAAAGCATCTCGAGTCTCTCACTCACTGTGGCTGCCGAGGATGGACCTCACGCACACCCAGGAGCCAGCTGAGCTTCAGGCTTGAGTCCCGAGGAGAGCCCCGGGGGACAGAAGGTGTCACTGCAGCCCTCATCAGGACGGCCTCAAGGCCTGGGGTGAAGTCTCAACCAAGAGTAAAGAAAAGTATGCATCTGTGGGTGCATCAGGAAGCTGACGGGCAAGGAGCATCTCAGGAAGAAGGAAAGCAGAGCCAGCTCCTGGCCGTGAGTTTCTACAAGGAACAGGAGGGCTCACAAGGCATCTATCTGCGCCTTGTGGAGAAGGATAACGTCAGAGGCCACTCAGGCCCACGGCATGCTGAGCACTGCCCTGGACATCTGCGCTCCACAGCCCAGCCTCGCGCAGCTGGCCCTGCAGGGAGACCCCGGAGGGAGGTGCTGAGAGGCAAGAAGGGAAAAATGGGCCCCGGTGGGGTGTGAGCAGGGCTGGGAGGGGTGGAGACAGCTTCTAGGTCTCCCTGGGTGCTGAAGGCATGCTGAAGGGGGGCGGGGGGACAGACTTGAAGGAAGAGAGGGAGCAGCTATTTGGGTGTATCCTGGGGAGAGAATGCCCGGAGCAAGGAGCAGGTGGTGCAAAGGGCCAGAGGTCAGGGTGTGTCTGGCTACTGAACCCAGGGAAGCAAGGAGTCTGGTGTTCCGGTGGAGTGAGGGAGCGGAGGGTGGAGGAGATGAGCACTGAGGGGTGAGGGGCCCTGCACCCCTGAGCCAGCGGTCCCTGTGACGCTCCAGACATTTTCCAGTAAGAATCAGAAGATCCCAGGGTATGGGAAGATGAGTGCCACGCTCCCATTGGCTTCTGCTTTCTCTTTTATACTTGCAATCATTAATTCATCGAGCTCGCATGGCAGACTGTGAATCCAGTAGTATCCTCTCCATTCTGTGACTGTTGGTGAACTTTGCAGTGCTGGGGATCAAACCCGCAGCCCCTGGACGTCGGCCTAGTGCTCTACCACTGAGCGACATCCCTAGCCCCAAAACCAGTTAGCCTGCCGGTTTTTCTTCTTCTTTTGGGGCCAGGGATTGGTCGATCCCAGGACCCTTCCCACAGCAAAGGCTGAGGGCAGTCTGGCACTGAGCCATACCCCCCTCCAGGGCTGTGGTGCTAAAGATCGGAGCTCAGGTATGAACTTCTGGTTATAAGATGAAGCAATTCCCGGGCTCTGTGCACATCCCGATGGCTGTAACTTAAAAACACCGAACTGCATGCTTGAAATCTGAAGAGAGCAGAGTGGAAGTGCTCCTGTCACACACACAAACGCTGATGTGGTGGCGACGGATGTGTCCATTGGTAGTGACCATCACGGTGTGTGTGTGTAGCAAATCACCAGTGGTACACCTTCATGACACCCAGTGTCCATTCACCGTGACTCTGAATGAAAAAGGCTGACATAAACCTTTTTAATGTCACATTCTGAATCAACTAATGCTTTACCAAATATTAATTCTCAAAGCAAGTCGCAACACATAACTACAAAACAACAGTGCTGTGTTTATTTTGGGAAATAAAGCTGAAATTTCTTGGAGAAAACAACAGCTCCCTGGAGTGCGGACCAGTGAAAGTGAGGTTGGGTTCAGTCTGATTCTCCTGCTTCTCCTCCTCCTCCTCCCTGTGCAGCTGCTGAGCTGGCTCCCAGCTCTAAAGAAGCAGAGAGCAGCCCCACCCAGGCGGGTTCAAGGAAACCTGCAAACAACCCAGCGCAGGTCAGTCTTACCCCCGCCCGCTTCACTCCCCTGGACTCATGCACGCTGGCTCTTAGAAGTGAGCAGGCAGACAGAACGAGGCACCCAGCAGAGGTAACAGTTTGAAAGGCAAACTCGTGTATGGAAGACCACCTCTGAGTGACGCTGAAAATTCCATAAAGCAATGAATGAAAACTACCTGATAGAAATTTACACAGACTAGGACCCTCTAGTGGAGGTTAAAAGGGTCGGTGCCCTGACAATAAAGTAAACAACTGTTGAGATTTTTGGCAAAGAACAAGCTAACACACTGGAAGACTAGTTTCTAATACATGCACCTTGGCACCTTTGTAAAGATGAAAAATCATAACTCAGTCTGCATCAGGACAGAAATAGCAGGACAGAATAAAGAAATGGGTGTTCGTTTTCTCTTAGCTGGTTCTACATGCCCTGTAATTCTTGTATTCTCTTGAGTGGCTTCACACTGTCTTGATATGCTTGATGTTATAGCATACGAAGTTACACTCAAATAATTCAAGGAAAGAGGCACTATGGCAACTACTATTACGTTAGATTATCTGGTGGTGAAACACAATGATGCTTGAATGGTTCGGTTTTGCCCTGCGTTGTTATGTTACAACGACCTCTCTTATCTCAATCTCCCCCCCCCCCCGCTTTTTTTTAAAATTAATCTATTTTCTCTCTATTTTTAATTAAGGGAAAACTAAATTAAAAATAGCGGGACATATTATAGTAACTTTCTTGGTTTTCCTTTTAACCTGATTTGAACCCCAGTATTGCTCTCCCCATCTTGTTCTGATTATTCTATATTCTATTTTGTTTGATAGTACCAAGTTTGAGGGTATAGGCAACCACTTTGAAGGCAAGAAGATACACTATGATGCCCATTATGGTTTGACTATTATCCTTTTTTTGAAGTCCTGCAAGGTCTCCAGTGGAGGTTTTATTGGTCTTGTTCTGTACTGTTTTCATCAATTCTATTATACCTGATGATATAGACAACGCAGTTTAAAAATAGCAAGAGGCACAGTGGTAACCACTTTTGATCACCTGGTATTCTATTTTTGCATCATGTGCTATGCCCACCCTTCTGTTCTGTTTTGCTTAGTCACGTTTGGTTTTATTCTCTTCAAAAAAAGTAATAAGAACTGTGGGAGTAATAAAGCCCAAAATGTCTAATTGTTATTGTAAAAAAAGAGAGGAAAGGAAGGTGGACTAAGGGATATAACCGCAGGTACGTTCGAGTGTGTAGGATGGAAAACCATATTACTGAGCTTTTGTTGGATCGTTGAACGGAACTGTCTCCAATTTCACTGTATGAATGTCCACTTTATATGCTTTAATTTTGTAATTTGGACAACTGTTCCTGGGAAGATAATGTGTGACCTATTAACTGGTGATTTCTTATTGTATATTTTTTCTTGAAATACTGTATTATTTGTACCCTTTTACTGCTTTGTTTTTTTATGTCCTTTCTTTTTTTTCTCTTTAAATAAAAAAAAAGAAAGAAATAGCAAGATGGAAGAAGCAAGCAGGATTTCCTGACGGAGTGCACATGGTGAGCACAGCCCAGGGAGATTCCTAAGACTGTGGCCTGAGCAACCAGAGGATGGAATCACTGTCACCGGCCATGTATGGGAAGACTGGGGAGCAGTCGTGGGGTGGAAATCACCTCAACTGGCAACATTTTTTAGTGTGAAGAAAATCTGACACACAAGTGATGCTGAGAACGCACTCAGATATTGTGGCTGCTGTTTAGGTAAGAGGGCTGGGATGGAAATTTAAATTTCAGAGTTTCAGAGCATAGGGATGGAATTTACATCCATGGGGGGTGGGATTACCGAGGATGTGAGCGTCACAGAGAAGGAGACCAAGTCCGAGCCCAGTGGCTCTCCAGTAATACGAGAGAAGAAACCAGCCAAGGAAACCGAGGAGGACAATGCCCAGAGAAGGGAGTGAGCCCGGAGGGGACACCCGACAGCCAGGTGGAGGAGGAGACCAAGGAGGCAAAGGCCGCTGTGGTGGCACAGGCTCACGTCCCAGACTCCAGGAGGCAACAACAGACACTATTGTTGGCCTATTAGAGTAATTCAGCAACTTGGAAATACTCTCAAATATATATAATTTTATATATATTAATATGTATATTAAAAGGCTTGGGATGTATTTCAGTGAGAAAACATAAAAAACAAGAAGGAGAAAAAGAAAAAGAGGAGGAAGAGGGAAAAGAAGAAATAAATTTTAGCTGTTTGATGTTCAGTTGAAGACCAATAAAAGCCAAGAGCCGACCGCTGGGTACGGTCTTGCAGTCGGCACTCGCTGGGGGCTGGGCAGCAGTGTCGGTGGAAAGGCCTCTGTCTGAACGGGGTGGCCTTGGAAGAGCAGGAGGGGAGGAGACGCAGAGGCTGCAGCAGCTCTTACAGAGAACTCTGAAGCAAAGAGCAGGGTCACCGGGGAAGCAGAACGCAAGCTCCTTAGTCCAGGCGGAAGGGGCAGGAGCTGTGTGCGCGTTTCATCTGCCAAAGAGCAAACTCTGCAGACCTGCAGACGGGGAGCGGGCGGGACCCCCGGGGAGACCCTGAAGGGCTGGAGTCCAGATGGCACATTCACAGTAAGGGGTCGGGCAGGAGAAGGAGCCTGGGGAAGCGCCCACAAGGCCATCAGCCCAGGTCTTTCTGCTGAGACTGGTGAGGCTGAAGAAAGCCCACAGGGCCAACAAGGGCAGGTTCTGTCACCACCTGGTGCCATCACAGCCACCGCGCTCACGATCACAGGGACCCACTGAGGGCTGCAGCAGCGACATTCGTGCTCCTTCTGTGGACAAGAAACTCGAAAACCTCGTCTCTTCCTTCCCCAGAGAGCCTGGAGCGTGCACACACACACACACACACACACCACCCATCCCTGCTCCTGCCCACCTCACGAGCAGCTGCGTTCTCATGATAGACTGATAGGGGATCTGTTTGTTTTGGGTTTAGAAGAAAATGCTCAGCATTCACAGAGCGGTGAATGGTCTCCTAGTGCCCGCTTGTCTAACTGCTGTGCCGGAGACCTGCTCTCCCTGCCTCTCTCCCGCTGTCTCTCCTCTGCCCGACCCTCACAGGAGTCTTTTGTCTGCTTTAAATAACAAACAGAAAATTTTGAGGGCTTGGCAAAAACTGAGAATCTCTCCTGGAAAACGCGTGTAAACACACTCATGTCCACCCTCAGTGCTGTGGACAGAACTCTGGGGCTCCTTGCCTTGCGCCCTGGTTCTCACCACGGCCCCCCACCTAGGCAACCTTGGTTCTCTTTGCACCCAAGCAAGGAGAAGAGTGATGATGGGGTGGAGGTCGGTCCTGCAAACACTTAATGACCTCCCCTCGTGCCCATCCTCCTCCTCCTCCCGACATGACACATTCACGTTCCCACTTAGCTGGAACTCAGGGAATGCAAACACCCTTTAAGGGGAGTCTGCTAACAGGCCGCGAAGACTGCAGGCTCCCCAAAGCCCTCCAAAGCCCAGCACCAGCAGCCTTGGCTGCCCTCACAGGCCTCGCCACCCCTGGGCACTGGTATCTGTGGGTACCAGGGAGCCCCTTTGGCCTCCAGCAGGGGCTGAGTCCCGTGCTTCTCGAGTCCTGCCCACCACCCAAGTTGACTTCCCGGCTGTGAGTTCCAGCACCCCCAGAAGGGCAGCTGGGCCGCGGGTGGCCTTGCATTCTGGGCACGTCGGCTTCTGATCAAAGCCGCTCCTGCTCAGACCAGCAGCAGACAGAAACGCCAGTGGGATCAAAGACACGTTAACCATGCTCACCTTGGGCACACTGTGTGCCAGGCCTTGAGTCAGGGGCTCGCCCCGTGTCCCCTGCTTTGGATTTCATGAACAGTGAGCGCTCCGAGTGGGACTTGGAGGAGATGTCTGGGGCGGCGATTAATACACGACCAGAGATACGGTCACGGGGTGGAAGCCCAGCCCCACCGATGCCAGCTGTGGGACTCAGCGCATTGTGTTTAGCCTCTCTGTGCCTCTCCTTCTTCATCTGTAAACGGAGAAAAACTCTTGTAAAACACCTCCCCGTGTAAGGTTGTCATGAGGATGTGCTGGGCAACATGGGGACGGCGTCAGGACATCGTGAGTGTACAGGACACGAGCACCACGCCCCTCAGAGCAAGGCGCAGGTCAGGAACAGAGAGCAGAGAGGGGACACGGCCCTCCCTAGGTCACAGCCCTGCCCCGCATGTCAGGTAAGCCATCTGACGCTCTGGGCCAGGACCACTCCAGGTCTCCTCACATTCTGGAGTGTGAAACTCCTTGAAATGATCGGCTTTTCAATCAGTCCTCAGTGCGCAGTGCATTCTTGCTGCATCCTTCCCAAAAGGCAAGCGCAGCTCTAACCAGTCTTCCACCTCGTATGGACATTTCTTTTGGCTAAAAATTATCCATTTATACGACAGAGGTCCTATAACACCCTGAGGAAACCAAAAACCTCCCGTCACTGAGTGACTCCTCGTTCGTGGGCTCTGGCCTTGGAGTTTACCATAATTTTTACCGTACTGTAGAGTACCCACCTTCCACTTACTAAAAACAGTGTTAGCTGTGACGGAGCCCCAGGCAGGCACGGCAGGAGGCGTCTGCAGACCGCCTTGCTATCGCGGGAAGTGGCACACAGCTCCCTGCCTCTTACTGTCCCCGAAGACTCCCAGGGCGACAAGACGTGGAGGTGGAAACCAGTGACGCTGAGAAGCCTGACTGTGTAGTCCCAGGCTAATGTGTGTGCCTGTCCTTAGTTTATTACAATGAAAACAGGAGCTAAGTTTTAAAAAACAAGTTATGTACAGCAGGTCTACTCTTAGCCTGAGAGCTCAGCCACGCTGGTCACACAAGGCGAGGTCACCTTACAGAGTGAGTCTCAGAATGCAGCTTGATCTCTTTCATGGCTTAACCCACTGATCGGTTCTTACCTGCATGATTATTGCGAGCTGGTGGGAACTGCTGGAGGTGGAGCCTCGCTGGGGAAAGAAGATCACCAGGGGCACGTCCTTGGAGAGTGACCCCAGCCCCTCCACTCTCCTACTCCTGTCTCGCGGTGAGCCACTGTGCTGTAGGACACCATGAAGTTCTGGCCCATCACGGGTCCAGAAGCAATGGAGCCAGCAACTATGGACTGAACCCTTGAAACCATGAGCCAAAATAAATATTTCTTTTCCTTTAAATTGGTTTTCTCGGGTATTTTGTCATAGCAATGGAAAGGTAATATAAATACGCTCTTGAAAAATGTCCAAGTCCTGAAGAAAAAGCCTAAAGATGGGAAAGAGCTGAAGAGATGAGACAACAAAGCTCAACACAGTCCTGCACTGGCTCCAAACGGGAGAGCGCTTCGCCCCGTTTTCAGCCAATTGGTGACATCTGAATAATGTCTGTTGATTAAATCATAATATTGTGTCAAAATGGGCCGCCTAATTTTGATTGCTGTAGGAGAATATCCTTGATTCTTGGGGGAAGCCATATAGAATAATTCTGAGATAAACTCGGTTCACTCTGCAACCTCCTCTCGAGCAATGGTGACGCCTGAAGAGGTAAGCAGCCACAGTGAAGCGACACCAGCAAGAAACCTGGAACTGTCTCGAAATTAAAATGCCTCGCGGAAGGAAACCTACATCTCCGTCCTGCTGCTGTCCAGGAACCACCGAGCACGCGGGCTGCCGAGCTGGATTCCGACCCGAGCCCACCTCCAGGACACTGCCTAGAGGCGGAGCAGGCGCCCTCACTGACACCAGCACAGCGGAAGTCCCCTCTTCAGGAGAGAAAGCCCTCCCGACCCATCAATCGGCCCTTTATAGAGGAAGAGAGGCTCTTTAAAATCATAAGACACTGACTCTCTTGTCCGAGGGGACACAGGGCTACCTCGCCCCTTCCACACCCCTAAAAGAAATGTCCGTCCGGGTTACACTCAGCATGGACACCCACTCACAAGCTGCTGTTTTGTCTGCCAGATCTGTACAGGCCTCCGAAGAATGCGGTGAATTTGCTGTTGCTGAATGTGGTTCATTTGCACAAAATTCCTCACCCCCTCCTCTGTCCACATTTTCATCATCCCTGCCCTTTTCTCCAATAGGCCGTTTGACAACCGGCCGGAGAAGGAGAGGAGGAGGGGACAGGACGGGAAGGGGGCCACAGCCCATCTCATCCGCAGGCTTTCGTTTAGTGAGCACCTATTGTGTGTCACCAGCGGGGCTGGAGAAGGGAAGGAGGCAAACTTCACTCTGTCCTCGCAGAGCCTGTGGGAGGGTACAGCTGCGTCCCAGGGGGGATCCCGGGGCAAGTGTGTGGCAGCCAGGGTGCTCCACGGGGTCTAGGAAAATCTTAACCCGGACCATGATTTCATCAGTTAGGTCAAAGGAAGTTGGAGAGAGAGATGGAAGAGGCTGCTTTTCACTTATAAAAATAAACATCCACATTTTCTTATAAAGTCAACAGGAAAAAAATAAAAGCACTGTTGGGACTGCAAAATGGTTCAACTGCCATGGAAAATAATATGGACATTCCTCAAAAAATTAAAAATAATTTTAATTACTTTTAATTCAGCATGCTCCAGCAATTCGGCTCCCGGGTATAGATCTGAGGCTCTAAGAGCTGCTTCTCAGAGAGACTTTTCCTCCCCACCTTCTGTGCACAGCAGCCCAGAGCTGGAAGCAGCCCCATCTCCCTGCAGAGGACAGGGGAGTCAGAAGCGGTTTACACATGGGGCACGCCACGCACAGGTGAATCTCTGCGAAGTCAGGCCGAGGACCAGAGGACAGTCATGCAAAGACACACGGGTTCGGCTTGTGTGGGGCACCAGGAACAGTCAGGCAGAGGAACAGAGAACGGACTGGCAGCTGCCTGGTGGGAAGCGGGGAGCCGAGCTTGTGTGTTTTGCAAGCTGGAAGCGTTCTGGAGCTCTGCTTCATGATAGCGGGGACTGCAGGGCTTGACACTGAGCCCCATGCTTAGCAGGCGCGAAGGTAATAACTGCCACAGTGCGTGGAGTTTATTTTTATCATAGCTTTAAAAAGCTAGGAACAATGACCGCCGAATTCCTTTCCACCCCAGTAATCCCTGCTAAGCAGCAGTTCAGAGGGCTGACGGCATGGTGACGGCAAGGCAGGCCCCGCCCCGCCGTCCCTGACCTGGCCCCAGCAACACAGCAGCGGCTTCCCCCGAGAGGACCTGAGCCATGAAGTCCGTGACACTGGCTCACCAAACGTGCCGAGCTATGGGGAGGAGACGGTTTCGTCTTTCAGATTTTCAGCTCACGGCTCCCTGACGCCAGACCATGAACCTGTAGGTTAGGGTTTGACACTCACCAGCAGGATCAACCTGGCAGCTGCTGTCCCTGTAAATAAAGCCCCTCTGGGCCACAGCCACGCCTGCCCCTTTCCACACCACCATGAAGGTGTCCACACTACAGCGGTGGCATTGGGCATGGGAGACAGAGCCCGGTGGCCTGCCCAGCCCAAGATCCATGCTGTTCACCTCTTACAGAGAAGGAGTTGGGAAGGGCCCTTAGCTTTTCAGAGTGTACATTCTAATTAGGTATTAATTGTTCCTTTTGTGTTTTAGGAAGCAAGAGCCCAGCTCTGGCTGCTGATGAAACTGTTTCTCCTTTAAGTGGAGCTTGGCCTCACAGCAGAACCCTCAGGGACCACCCTCAAGCCAGGAGGCCTCCTGTACAGAGGAGGCAAGAGCCGCAAGGTCCCTCTGTCCCTCACCCTCTCTCTCTCACTTGCTCTGGTCAATTCTGTGCACACATGCATACACACACACACACACACACACACACACACACACCCAAGGAAGGGGCAGGACAGGACAAGGAGAGGATTCTCTTTGACTCGATTCGGTTTGGGTGGTGCTGCCCTTGTTAACTGGCTTCGCAGCCATCTGTGTAACTTAGGGAGATGCCGTGTGGCCCTTGGGACTCCGGCCTTGGTCCTCTCCCCCCACCACCGCACCTCTCCAGCAAGCTAAGCCACCCACAGCTGACTGTCACCCCCACCTTCCCCAGGTCACTCTGCACGGCCCTATCCACGCCTCAGCATTGCCGGAGACAGGGAAGCCTGCAAGATGACCCACTGTGGCGGGGACTCTCCTATCCTGGGGCCCTCGATCTCGTTCTTCCAGACCTGCTGCTGCAGCCCCCTTGTCCTATACTGCCCACCCTCTGGCCAGCGTCCAGCAGTAGTCCCCAAATCTCCTATCCCATCCTAGGAACCCTCTGCTCACCCAACTCCCAGCCGGTATGGCCTGGCTCTGAGTCTATGCAACATGACAACGTCAGGAGACATTTTCAGTGGTCACTGGCTCTGGAGGGACAAGGCAGAGATATCCTGTAGTTCACAGGATGGCCGCCATGGTCCTAGAGTGTCCCCCAGAGTGTTAGGGGCAGAACCCTGGTCAAGAGGACTCTGCTGGCATGGATGAGTGGACGCTGCTGTCTTGGGAGCAGCTTTGGATCCTGGCAGTGGGCCCGGCTGACCCTCTCTTGCTGCCTCTCACTCCCTGCCCAGTGCCCTCCTCCAGATGCCAGTGCACTGACATCTGGACACTCACCCTCTGGAATCCTGAGGAGCAATTTTATTTTCTTTATAAATTGCCCAGCCTGTGGTGCTCTGTTATAGCAATGCACAACAGCCTCAGACACCGTCCTAACCGACAAAGGAGACCCAGCCCGAACAGCCCACAGGCCAAGACTGAGGCCTGCAACTCCTCAGAGATGACATTGGAGGATGGGAAGAGGGAACAGGAAGAAAAATTTTAGAAGTCCCATTAAAAACCCTTATTCTTTGTATTAAAAGTGCCAGATGCCGGGCGCTGGGGTACACGCCTTAATCTCAGCTACTAGAGAGGCTGAAGCAGGAGGATCACAAGTTTGAACCCAGCTGAGGCAACTTACCAACTTAGCAAGACCCTGGCTCAAAATTTTAAAAAAAAGAGGGTCTGGGGGTGCAGCCCAGTGTGAAGGCTGTAGACTCACTCAGTCCCCACACAGAAAATCAAGGCTCCTGAGGGTGAGTGGCTCTGAGAGTTATCAGGGCCTTCTGGTCTCCGGGACCCTCTCACTTGACATCACCCCAGTCGGTGCTGATGTCACTGGGCCAGCTCCTGCCCAGCCTGGTGCTCTACTTTTCCCAAGAGGGCTGCCACCGACAGTTACCATCTGTCCCTGTGGGACCAGAGGCAGCAAAGGGACCAGTGGCACCTGCTTTGTCTAATCTGCCCACCTGTCTGTGTCTCCCTGGCTGCCCCAGCCCACTGGTGACAAGAGGCCCAGGGTTGCCCACACTGGCTTTCCCCATCACGACCCGCCCTGGGCCCCAGCTTTCCAGAGGGCACAGCACCCGGCACCCAAAACCCACCGCTGTTAGGGCCTCAGGGGTGAGAGGAAGGTTGGTGCCCACCCAGGCCCTGCCAGTGTCCCTCTTCCTCGCAGCTTGGGCAACTCTATTCTCACGTAGCCTCTGGACAGTGGCCTCCAACCTGCACGTGATCACCGCCGCCTACAGAACTGGGACGACCGGCACACAGGCCCCGTCCCCATCCTAGAATCTCTGCTTTCAGCAGCCACATCGGTTTTCACATTGCACCCAAGAGCGAGTGGGGGGCAGCGCTGGGGACAGCCTGACCCCCAGTCAAAGACCTGCTGCTGTGCGCCACAAACTCCAGCGCCAGCCCAGCACCTCGGTGCAGTCTGTTAACTTCGGGGATCCTCAGGCCGCGCCGACAGCTCAGATCCTGCCCCGGCGCCCGCTCGGTGACTGCCATGGCTACCTTTACTAACTACACTTTACCACCACATTCACCGTTTAGGAAACTCCTGCCCGATGCCGGGTACCACGGTCAACGCTCTGTGGCATCAGCCCGTCCCGGTCACTGTGGTGTACAGATGGGGGGAAATAAGGCAAATGTCCAAAACCACGAGGGTGTCACAGACAGGACACGGTGCCAGGCACTCCAGCCTCCTCCGTCACACTGAGACCTCCAGCCTTGCCACCTCAGCAGCCGTTCTGGAAGCCCTCTTTCAGGAGTATCTTCAAAGTATGGTTAAAAGTGCGGTGAACGCTGCTGCCGAGGGCCATCCAGCAGGAAGGCAGCTCACAGAAAGGTGACCCCGGGTCCTCAGCCACCTTCTCTACTGAATCTGGCACTGTGACTTCAGGCCCTTCCCCAAGGACTGCAAAAGGGAGAGAGATTGTTCAGTTCAGGACATGAAGGCCCCACCATGGTGCAACAAAAGAAATTCATTTACACACGCGCGCGTGCACACACACACACACACATTTCCAAACCCCTGGCAATCCCGGAGTGATAAGAATGTCACTGTCCTGTAGGAATGGCCCAGCCCTACCCCTTCCTTGATAGCCCGGGGTGGGAGCTGGTTCCTAGAAAAATCAATCATATGTCTAGAAGGCTGGCACCCTCCGCCTCTTCCCCAGTCTTCAGGAAGGAGGGAATTAACCCACCGTGCCTGCAATGGCTCCCCATTAAAACCTTCACCCCTGAGCTCCAGCAGCTTCTGGGCTGCTGACCGTTCACCCTGATCCCATGGGGCAGAGGCCGCTGGGCCCCAACCCTGAGCATGTACCAGGGAAGCTGCCACTCGTTTGGATCCTGTAATGAAGTGTCCGTGAGTCCTGTGAGTTATTCTGGTGAATTGTCAAGCCCGGATTTCAAGGTGGGAGCCCCTAAATCTGTAACCACATTGGACAGAAGTACAGCTGGCTTGGGGACTCCACGCGCAGCTGGTACCTGAATCGAGGGCACTCCGTAGGGACCTCGGCTTTGCCGGAGAAAAGCCAGGCTCACTGCAGATAGCCGGAGCAGCGCTGGAGTGGATGGCCAGACACTTTCTGCGGGAGAAGGGACCGTGAGATGCACTCAGAGACTCATGTTCGCCGCAAGGCCATCAGTCTCTCCTCCCAGGGGAGAAGCTGCCGCTGGGAGACGCTGCACGTTCCCATGACGACGTAGTAGGGGGCAGCAAGGCCAGAATTCATGCGCAGATTTGTCCACTCAGGGCTGATGTATTCTTAATGAGGGTGCCAGCTCGCAAGCCCCCGGGTGCCATGCTCTGGGGAGGTGCAGGTGCATAATACTCTTGCTGTGAAAATGCGGCTCCTGTCATCACCTCCCTGATGTCTGCCAAACCTGCCTGGTTATCAGACCCACCTGAGGCACTCGGTAAAACCAGATTCCCAGCCCCTCCTGAAGATTCTGCATTTGGGATGGGGCCTGGGAGTGCTTTTGTCTGACAGATGCCTCCCTGACCCCAATAGACAGGCAAGTCTGGGCCCTTTGCCGCATGGCCCTCAATCTGCCCTGACCCAGGCTCCCGTGCAGACCCACGGTTCTGCACAGCCAGATAAAGCCTCTCTCCTCTCCGCTCTGACCCTAAGGCCTACACTTGGCAGGATCTTAATGAATTTGATTCCAGGTGGCCAAAACCAAACCCAGCCACAAACCCACTCCTGATTCTTGCTCTTCCTCCTACCTGCCCTCAGTGAGCAGCCCACTGCACCAGTCAGCTTCCCGTGGCTGCACACAGCACCCCACATCCGCAGCTTAGGGCACAAGAGATTTAATTTGGCTCATGGTTCCAAGGTAGCTGGTCCATGGCCGGCTGGATCCAAGGCAGAGACACCATGCCGGCAGAGCACGGTGGAGCGGAGAGGCAGAGGACAGTCCCACAGAAGAAGCTGAGGGGAAGGTTTGGACCCAAGGCCACGCCTTCATGACCACCCAGAAGTGTGCCCCACCAATCCCCCGGCAGACCCCAAAACCCATCAAGTTGGCACTGCACCCACCGCTCCACCCAGCAGCGCAGCAGCCTTCGGTACCTTGCTGTGCTCTCCGCTACTCTCCTGTTGGTCAGTCCTGCGATTCCTGCCTCTAATACAGTATAGATGGCTGTCTGTCTCAGTTCCCATTCTGCAATACGCCCACTTCACTGTTCACCAAGACTCACTAAACCTACCAAAGACGCCTCTGCTTTCCTTCTCTTCCCCCGTAACCTTTTACGCCACCCCACAGGAGGCAGACCCCAAAGGTGGCTGCGTATGCTTTCCCTCTTTTGTGCTTTTCTAGAACTTTTCCACGACCTCACCAAGAGTCCATCGCCCCTTTCATAAACATGGGCGCACGTCAGTCGTGATTGCTCGACTAATGGAGTCCACAGAAGAGCGACCTGCTGCCAAAGAGGCTAAAGCTGTATGGAGACGGAGGAGAGACCCTGAGCCAGCTCGTGCTCCAATCATGTCCCAGCTACGGCCACCAGAAAGACCCCAGCCAGGACTGACTCCAGCCAGGACTGGCCTGCTGAGTCCTCCTCAAATCCCTGACCCAAAGGAATCAGGAGAGAGAATTTCAAAGTTTGCTGTTAAGCCAGTAATAGTCAGTATTACCCAGTAACAGTCAGCACAATTTTAGGCAAAATATTTAACAAAGCTGATCTGAGCAAAGAATGATTCATGAATTAGGCAGCACTCGGGACTAGAAGAGGCTCCGGAGTGCTCGCCCCTGGGGTGGGCGGTCAGCATTCACAGGCTAAACAGGACAACGAGGCACAGAGAGGACTCTGAGTCACAGGAGGTGTTACTTAACCTCTCTGGGACATGGGCTGATGGGTTCGTTGCTTGTGACTGGCAAGAGCTCAGCCTTGGTTAGTGGCTCAAGTCTAGCTCTTTGTTGCAGAAGTGGAGGTGCCTCAGTTCACGAACGCAACGCTCGGCACAGCTGTGGTCACAAACTGAACTGAGGCGCACCGAAGCAGCTTCCCTCTAAGCTCTGCGTTGCCTGTAACCACTGAATTTGATTTGGTTCTTAACCAACCCAAACTGTGGGAAGAATCAATTTGGAGAATCGAGGTATCTCTATATTCTCCCAAATTTGGAATCTATTTCTCTACCTACAAAGATAGGTTGCAGTTAGCTTGTTAGGAATTCAAAGTACAGAGGCAAATTCAGGCTCAGGGATTCCTGCTTCTTCTGCTTTGAAAACTTCCATCCTTTGCAAATCCCTGTCTCCCATATTCTGATTCAGCAACGGAAAACAGACGGAGACAATCATGATCTTGAAGTTACCTCGCAGTCGACACGGGAATCAGGGAGAAGTATTTGGAACACTGAGTAGAGGCTTGTTTTAGTTTGTGTCTCGGGGTCTCCCTGCAGCCCCTGTGGCCTCAGGCCTCTGGAAGGTGATTGGCTCACAGCGGCGTCACAGCTGACCTGCCTGACGGGAAGTGGACAGCTCCTTCCCAGCTCCTCCCTTCACTCCCTGCCTCCTGTGCACCATGCCCTGAGCAGCCTGTCCTCTGCTCTGCCGCCCTGCCTTGGTGTCAAGGACCACAGACTGCAAACATCTCTTCCCACAAGCTGTGGGTATCAGATATTCAGTCCCAGCCATGGGAAAAGTAACAAGACAGGGATGGCTGAACGACGGAATCCAACCATAAAAAATTAAAAGAGACAGTTTTGTCTGCATTTGGGCAGAGCTGGGCTCACAAAGCAGAGCGGCAGCCACTTCTGACGGTCTGGTCTGACACAGCCTTTCTCTGAAGGGCAGCAGGAGCTGCGGGAGGGGAGGACAAGCAGGCAGAGGCAGGGGTGTGAGCAGGGTCCCTGCCCGTGCCGGAAGACCGGGTCCACGGGGCTAGAAGTGCAACATCCTTAGCTAGAGTTCGCCTTAGAGATCCTGCTGCAAATGACAGGAAGTCGCCCCTCTGATGTATTTCGCAGCTGCCCTACCCTTCTCCTTGCATCAGGATACAGCCAGTGACAGTCCCATGTCCTCTTGGGACTGGACCATTTGCACACCAGCCAGCCTTCCACCTGCCAGAACTTGGAACTCCTTGAGTGCATTCTCCAAAGCCACAGCAGGAAAGTCTCTTTGCCCTGGGGTGGCATCACCCTGAGTGTGTGTCCTGTCATGGATCCCAACCTTTCCTAGGGTCACGTGCCACATAAACTACTTGCATCCTGAGTAGCATGAGCAGGACAGAAAGTGGCTGGGAACGTGGACAGGGACCTGAGCATGGAGGAGCAGAGACCGGGAAGACACAGATATGAGCAGAGAGCTGGAACTGGCCGCTGCCTGGGGCTTCACTGCTCCGCGCACCTTCTGTCCTGACCGCGCTCACCAAGAAGCCAAGAAGCAATTGTCATGTGGCTGTGGAGCCCCCAGGATTCATGTGAGCCTAATGCAAGAGTGTCAGGAGGAGGGGTCTGCAGCAGGTGTGGGACGTGGGCCGTCTCCAGGACCGAGCTCTTTCTTTTGCAGGCCTGGATCAGTTTCCATGAATGCAGTCTTGGTAAAGCAAGTCCACTCCTAGTGTTCCGCTGCTTTGGCACGAGGCTTCTTGTCCTCCCACTTCGTGCCCTGAGCTGAGGCAGCTTGAGGCCATCCGTGGTCAAGAGTGTACGAGGACCTCCCAGCCTCCAGGACCAAGGACCTAAAAAAATTCCTTTCTTCCCAATCACCCACTCTACCATGGTCTGAAGGAACAAGAGAAAATGGACCGAGACAACCCCAGTCTTTAAGTTACCTCCAAAATGAGCCTGGTGATTCTCCTACACGGGTCCCCACCTGAATGTTTACCTGCCGTGGCTTCATCCATGATGCAACATCAACCAGGGAACAGGTCCAGCGCTGGGGATGTCAGCCCAAGCACAAAACAGCAAAGACCACAGGAGCGGGAGGTGCTTGTCTGAGTGGCTGTCCTGTGGCCAGCCTCAAGCAAAGAAAGAGCTTGGCATCAAGTAGACAGTCCAGCAAACGCACCTCCACCTGCTGGCTGTGTGACCAAGGGCAATTTCCTTAGCCTCTCTGTGCCTGCTCTGAAGTGCATCCGTAGGAGGAGAGGGGAAGCACAGCGGATGCCAAGAGCAAAGATGTGCCCTGTACCTGCACCGACACCTCAGGATGAACCAATCACTGCACACGGTAAACATGGACTAATTAAAATATATACGGAAAACAAAATGCGTGACAAAGAGCAGTGCCCAGGTCATGCCTGCCACATGCCAGGAACTCAGGAACAGGCAGTCCCTGTACTTCGCTCCCCAACTCTTTCTCTGTCATAACAAAATAAAAGATCAAGGAGAGACGCACGAGTGAAATAATGGGCATCTTCTATCCAGCATCTCTCTGCCCCCTCGCTGTGCATGATTATTTCTAGGAGGTTAATACCTAATTACAATAACACAACTCCCTAGTATCAGTGGGCCCATAAACAGAGGCCCAAGGAAAATAAAACCATTACAATCATGGCCCAGACTTAATCACTGGCTAGTGGGCTCCTCGGTGGTTTGACCAAGAGCCAGGCAATACTCAAATAATCAAAGTGCAGATGGTGGAATAGCAAATCAGCTTAAATTTAAACGGTGGCAGAGACCCAAGCTCCAGTGGGGACAAAGAGAGGAGGGGGAGAGGCCGCCTTGCACAATGCTGGAATTTCCCTGCCTTGGCCTCCCCAGTTAATTGGCCTGTAAAATAGCAGGCTCCTTAGTGAATAGTAGGCTCCGTCCTGAGAGGTCCTGGGCCTCTGCTCTCAGAGCTGAAAAGCATCCCCAGGTGCATGAAGGTGGGGACATTTTGGTCTCCATGCTGCTGGTTCCTTAGAAAGAGGAAGAGAGAGGCGGATCCACTGGGGAGGCTGGAAGACACAGGACAGTCTGTGTGACACTGCCATGCAGGAAGGGGTGATGGACCTTCAGGGAACCCAGTCCTGGCCAACACGTTGGCTATGACCTGTGAGAGACCTATCCAGCAGGCACCTGGAATCTGGCTCTGTGATGGCATCGGTGCATGGTGAGCCATTGCCTCGATGAAGGGAAACAGGAAAGGAAGCTCCTGGGGGCCCCCAGTACCAGATGGGACAAACCTAGAATCCACTGCGGTAGGCACTGTGGTTGTCAGAGCTGCGGCAGGACGTTCCCTGGAGGTCATTTCTTCCGAGTCTGTGACCTTCAACTAAAGTAAAAGCACTGCATCTGCTTTGAGTGATAAATAGCACCAAGCAGATAAACTGTCCCACTTCGGACGACTGTGTGAGCTGGTTTTAAGTGGGTTTTTCTTCCCAAACACTCGTTATCCCTGTACCTCATCTCTCATCTCATTTCCCAAGCCCCCGTCTTTGCAGAGGACGCGCGTTTATTTCAACTAGTCCTCGCCTTGAGCCATCACAAGTGTGCAGTCAGTGATGCTGAAGAAGGTCTCAAGGGCCAGCATTCGGGGCCCTCTTCACTTCGGGGAGCCTCACAGGGAGTCAGACCGGAAGGCACCGTGGTGGTCATTAGTCCGGTCAGCGCAGAGCGGGAGCGCTGGCCACGCTGACATAAAAGGAGACAGTGCTCGCACCACTGTCCCAGCTGAAGACAGTAGGAGCGCCCTTCCCCGTCTCCTCCACCTCTCTCGATGCCTGGGAGGTTGAAGCAATGGTACCAGAACCATCATGCTGGGTCACGAGGCAGAAGTCGTGTGGAAGAAGGAAGCGTGAGATATAGCTTTTTATGCAACTGTAATTTTCAGTTTGTTTCAGGGTTCCTCAAAACCGAACTAAATCTAATTCATGTGCAGTTTTAGTCAATCTTCAATGTAAGGAAGCTGAAATCCTCTGGAGTCAAGAATACATCTGCTCATGTCTACTATGGACGGAATGTTCTCCACCACAACCACCACCCCGGAATTTCTGTATGTTGAAACTCTCCCCCGCAGCGTGACTGTATTTGGAGATCCACTGCGTTCGTGGAGGTGACCAGTGAGGTCGTGAGGATGTGTCCTTACAAGGAAAGCTCCCCTGCTCTCTCCCCCAGCACGGAGGACACAGTGACAAGGTGGCTGTCTGCAAGGCAGGCAGAGAACCCTCCCCAGAAAACAGCCCTGCCAGACTCCGGTCTTGGGCTTCTCCAGGATGAGGAGAAAATAAATTCCTACACTCAGGCCACGCCATCTGTGGCCTGTCATCAGGACAGCCTGCGCTGACTAAGGCACTTCCACAGTCCAGTCCTCCTTAGAGAAAAGCCCGAGCAGTTCTTACAAGGCTTCTGGAGTTCATGATAAATAATCTCTCCAGTTGCCTTAGTGACTCCTCACAGGAATAAAATGTTCAGGACCCTTCCCAGCTGGGGCGATCTCTCCAGAACAATGTGGACGGGATCTGCCAGACACAAACCCTCTCGATGGCCCTCTCCAGCATGTGCACCCAGTGCTCCCTTCCTCTTCCCCAGTGGGTCTGGACCGTGGAAGTGCTCTTTCCGAGCGGGTTCCCAAGCTCCAGGAGGAGATAATTTTGTACACACAATTTCCAGCGATGACCTTACGGCAAAGGCCCGTGGAGACTGGGGCTGGAGACAGAGGTCAGCACACACCTCATCCTATGCCCTCCATGCCGAGGTGAATCCAGAACAATGGGAAAGTTGCTTCCCGAGTCTTGGATGGTGACTCAAGTTAGGCGCCTGTTTTGTGCACACTGAGCCATCCTTTATGCTTCTCCCAGGAGGCAGAAATGCCTGCGTCCAGGAGCTGTCACAGAGTTGCTGACCCTGCTCCAGCCACAGGGCTGGGCCCGGGGTCCATGCCGGCCATCCAGAGCCACGAGTGTCGTCAGCCACGGTGACTGCACAGGGCAGACTGAACCTCAGCCAGCAAGCCCGTCTTCCCTGAGACTTCCTGCTGCCGTATGTGGGAAGGTGGCGTCCTGTCTCGCAGGATCTAAGGGGATACCAAGTGACTGACAGCTACTGGCTACCTACTCCACCATGCTGACCTTACCTGTCCCTAACGAGGCAAGCGTGCTGGTGCAGAGGGGAAAGAAGTGTGGAGACAAAGAAAAGGGTTCACTCAGAAGAGGGGTGTTGTAGTCAGGGGTTGTACACAGAGAACAATTCAGATCAGGACATGGGGTTTATAATATTTTTATAATGGTCACCAGAAGTTAACATAGGAAAATGCAGGAAATCTATCCACAATATCAAAGACATAGATTATTTAGTCAAAAGCCTAAACCCCACGGCAATGTCCCACATGAGTCCAGATAAAAAACCAGAGCTCAGGACAACGCCTCCATGAGTCCAACTGGAGGCCCAGACCCACAAGACGGACTCACACCAGTCTCTTTTACGGATCGGTGCCAGGAAGACCCAAGGGTCAGCAGTCGAAGCCAGAAAGTCTATGCCAGCAGGATGAAGGAGCTGTGCTAGTGGGATGAGGGTTCTACACTGGAGCCGAGAAGTCACACTCACAACAAAGAGCGGGGCTGTCCTGAAAGGCACCACAGCTGTCCTCAGCGACACAGAGGCCCTGAACTCCTCCGATGACAAGCACAGTCGGGTACGTGCCAGGAAGCAGCGTGACGAGTTCATCCTGGAGACCAAGCAGCACATGTCTTCCCCTCTGGAGCCAGGATGCAATGCTTGATGTGAAGACCAAAGCTTCTCCAGGAGAACCAACAGCTCAGACAGCAGCTCGTAGGAGAACCCACAATGCCTCCTTAACGCCTCAATCCCTCTCAACACCTCTCTTCTTCTCCGCCTATTTATCCTGGCAACCCTCCTCAGGTGGAGCATCTTCACTCAATGCATGCTGATGTAATCCAGCTGGCGATAAGTTGACCACCAGTTCTCAATCCATAACAAAGGGTCAGGCCTGGATCCAGCTGTACCTGCTACTTACCTTTGAATTTGCAAGCTACATGAGCCAACAAATTTTTCTTTTCCCTCACACTAACTGGACCGGAGGATTTGTTTCACCTCATTTTGTTTCTATTATGTAAGCTATGATCTTCTGCAGGACACGGTGGCGCTCTCCACTTGGCCAGGGCCTCGTTGGACAGTAGCCTCCCTCAGGCTCCTGGGCAGAAGATCATCTCGCTCCCTTGTCTTCTGCCTGTGCAGTCCCAGTGACACCAGGTGTATGACCATACCAACTGCCCTGTCTGAGCCCCACACTCCCAGCAGGAAGTACAGCACAAGGCCACCGTGGAAATCTATGTCCCTGCACCTGCGAACTCAGTCCCCGGGGACCCAAGCTGGGTCAAATCAGGGTCTCCAAGTCCTACACTAAGCAGGAGGGCAGGGGAGGGGCAGGGCAGAGAGAAGGCCTTCCTCCAAACCACACTGTCAGATCCGGGTGCCAGCCTTGGAGAGACACAGAGATGGCATCAGTGCCTGCACAAGCACCCACCCAAGCGAACACAGAACACACACACACACACACACACACACACACACACACACACACACTTCCTGACACACTCACAGGCAAGTGTGCCTATTCCCATGTCCATACACAAGCACAGGGCACCCTCACATACACTAGCCATTACGGACACGTGCAAACCCCCACACGGACACACTCCATAGAGACACACCCACACCCCAGCAACCTGGCACCCCAAGTTCAAGGCAGTCACCCCAGAACCCATGCCTCCTTCCTCCATGGAGCACAGCGCCCAGCCTGCACCTCTCTCTCCAGTGGCACCCAGAGGCCAGCAGGGTCACGCAGGACCGGAGCCTGGTGCTTTCTGAAGTCACTGCCTTTCACAGCCTGAACAAAATCCATTGCCGGCAATGTGGAAATTCAGGGCGAAGCAGTGTGACTCAGCAGACAAGTGGGGACTCATTACCTGCTACCAACGCCAAGCAAGAAGTGACCACAAACCATCACCCGTCCACAGGATGCTTGCTACAAAAGCCCAGGCAGATTCTAACAGACCCGATCTAGAGATAACCAAAGAAATACCAGGATCATGAAGTAAGACATCCGTTACTGTAACTCACTGTGTTAACTCATTCAAAAATATTTAGTGTGTGTGTGTGTGTGTGTGTGTGTGTGTGTGTGTGTGTCTTTTTAACACTTACCCTTTGCCAGTGTAGCATTGGCTCCAGGAGCATTGTTCCAACCTTGGAACAGAAAGATGAACGATACGAGAAAGGCTGAAAACACAGGAACAGAGGAGGAGACCAGAAACAGCCCCATGAACGGGAATGCGCTTTCAGGACAAAGGGGACCATTGAAGCAGGAAGGGAGAGGAAAGATGACCCAGGATGCTGTCCCCACAAAGCTGTTCATTCACAAGGGGGGAAAATAAATCAGATGCTAGCTCACACCCCTTAGAAAAGTAAACTCCAGCTGCGTGAGATCCAAGATAAAAACCTGCACTGCGGGGCGACTGCAGGATGGATGGATTCAGACACCTCAAGGCCAGGGGAGATGGCCCCTCCCCTCCCCCAGCTCGCACACACCCTGGCCGCCCTGGAAGTGACCGCAGCGTATTTCAGGCCCCATCTCGAGCACTGCGCTGGGCGCGGAGAGGTGGAAGGACTCTCCGCAGTCTGGAGAAGGGAAGAAGCCTTCCTGCTGCTGGGCGGGCGGGTGGCAGTGCTCAGAAGCCAGGAGGAGGAAGAAGTCCTGTCACATGAAAGCCAACACGTGAAGCTAAAGGACAGACGCTGCAGACAGCCTTGCACTTTCCAGGAGGGAGGCCAGACACAGTCCCGATGGCGTCACATCACACCTGCAGTTTTGTGGCACAGTGGGCGGTGGCCATGAAGGATGGTACACGTTACACACACCGCTGCGGAAAAACCTCCAAGATACAGAGCTAAGAGTCAGCAGTGAGTCACCGGAAGGCGAGACAGGGAGAGGCAGGGAGAGGCAGGGAGAGGCAGGGAGAGGCGGAGAGCACGAGAGGCCCCATGTTTGAACCACGCTCTGCAGCATTGCAGAGATGGCCCCACTCCCACACAGCAAGCGTCGGTGGTCAAATTAAACCAGGAGAACCAGGTTGGGGGCGCTCAGCCTTCCGGTTCCACCACGAATGCGTGAGACAGCTAACCCGAAGGGTGGGCAGGGCTGTTTCAGCTCGGCTCCGGGGCTCTCAGGCCCTGGCCACTGAGCTCCTGCCCTCGAGCCCGTCGTGGGGCACCACAGGTGGAGGGGGTGACAGAATGGCTCCTCCAGAACCAAGATGCAGCGGAGAGAGAAGGGAAGTGGAGGGGAGTGGGGTTCCAGCACCCCCTCACAGACTGCTCCATGCTCCATGTCGCAAAGTCCACCCTGCAACCCCCCCCAGTAAAAGTGCTATGGACTGGGGCCAAAGCCCCACCCCTTGGGCCCTCTGCAGACACTTCTCCCGGCCTCGCAGTGGAGAAGGCAGGACCTCAGCGTTCCAGCGTGCACAGAGGAAACGTCTCCATGGCTTTCTGCGCCTGCTATGTGAAGACCAGACCATCGCACTTGGCCGGGCCATCCTGGGTCCAGAGCTACTAGCCTGGCGACTGTGGCAAACCGTTATCAAGACAGGACTACGGCACCTGACTCCTACTAACGTGAAAGCACTAAAGAAAGGAGGTTATGAGTATGGTGACGTGTTGGTTCACCAACGCTTCTGTTGGCAAACAATTCAGTTCAGAAAAGTTCAGAAGCATTTGGCAGAATTTTGCTTTCTTTTGCAAACTCCACGTCGGCTGACAAGCACGACCCCAGCCGTCTCCCCCAGCCTGGTGGCCTGCTTACGCCTGTGAGCTGAGGCTCCTCAGGCCTGCTTGCTGGGCACCCTCTGCACGCAGGGGCTTTGAACACGCAGCTGCCTTTTAAACATCCCATGTGCAGCAACAGCCTTGGAAGGCGACAATGTTGCCTAGGGTAGTATTTTACACCTTAGGAAACTGAGGCAGAGAGGGGAAGTAACCTGCCCAAGGCCACAGATGTGGGAAGCGGCAGAGCTGGGGGCCACCTGGGTCTTTGCTCCCCAGAGCAGCGCCCACCCTTCCCACGCTGGTCCTTGCCTCGTCGTCCCTCTTGGGGTGCGCTTATTCCAAGCTGAGGCAGCACCCAGCTAAGCCTCAGATCAGCTGCGGTGTGGCCCCGGCCTTGACCCGGCAGACAAGGGGCCAGGGGTGGACTTAGTCACAGCCGCAGCCACAGCTCTCACACGGCGTCTAGACCCTGGCATCTCCCACTTCCTGTGACAGAGATAACAGCAGCTATTTTCGTCTGCAGGTCCGCTGGCACGAACTCATGCAGAGCAATAAATCTGCGAAGATGCAAACTCCTCTCGAACTGGCAGGAGTTGCATTATAAAACCCCAGAGCCAGCTATGACCAGTGGGGACCCCGCTGGGAGACCCCCAAAGAAGGGGAGAGAAGAGAAGGCAGCAGAGGGCGGCAGGCTCCCCACATCCAGGGCCTGCAGGACCAGAAGCCGAATGTGCAGACCAGGAACGGCCAGCTGGGCGCTGTGAACTGTGCAGAGGGACACACAGCCTGGTCTCTCTCCGTGAACCTCACTACAGACTTATTATGTCCCAAGAACTGTGGTAAAGATTGCTGCAAATTAGCCCATTATGTGCTAAGAACTGTTTTGGAAATTTCCACAAATTAACACATTCAGTCTTCACAGCAAACTAACTATTACCCCAGTTTTCCAGCTGAGGACACTCACACACAGAGAAGTTCGGTATGTGGTTCAAGGTCCAAAAGTAAGTGACCGCCAACAGGCAGTCTGACTTCGGGGTCACTGTTTTTGCCCACCACCTGCCCCTCCTCCCAACACAGAGAAGAAGCTGCTAGGGGCCAGGTCTGGGCAGCATGCTCGACTCCAGCCAAAAATGATCTTGAGACTCTCATGGAAACTCAGAAATCTGGGGTGTAGATTGGCAGTAGAGAGCTTCCCTAACACGCTCGAGGACCTGAGTTCCATCCCTGGCATCTCAAAACACAAACACACACATTCTTAGGGTGATCCAAACATACAGGGAATATTTGATTTTTAAAACGTGTGACGGTACAAGACACGTTGCCGTCAGTCTCCTTCATTTTGCACGCATCCCTTTGTTCTGACGCTTTCTGACGCAGCTCTGGGCGTCTCCCTCCGTGAGTGTCTTCCCCAGCTATGACCAAACATACTGTACGGTAAACACCGCTGCCAAGTGCCATCCGACAGAAAGGTGGACAATAAAAACCCCAGAGTGTGTCCTCACCCACCTCACTCACCAGATTGGCCCCAGGTAACCTGTAGCTGTCCCCGAAGTCAGAATGACCATGAAGAGGTAACATTTCAAATCCATTACAGATATCAAGGCAGCCACAACATGGAAACTAAAGACCCTCGGGAAAGAGGGCTTCTAGAATGGCCTTGGGGAGTGGTAAGAAGGGTGGGGTGCCTGTGTTCGAAGCTCGGGGTACGCTCTGAGGGCGATCAATGGCGATGGGTCTTTTCCAGAACTACAAACAGGGGAGAAGGGCGTGAGCTCCAGCTCGCCCGTCGCTGTTGCCTACCTGGAGAACGGGCTGCCCCACCCCAGCCTGGTGGGCCCCTGAGAGCCCGATACCTCCAGCCCAGACCTGTCCAACAGAACTTTCCACGGTGACCAACACGGTGACCAACACGGCCTGTGTCTGTGCCACCCACAGGTGGCCACAAGCTACACGGCACTGCTGGGCTGCTAAAACGTGGCTAGTGTGACTGAGGACGGGCATCCGAAATTTTTATTTAATTCATTCAAAATTTAAGATGCAGAGTCTCAGGTCTCTCCACAATAGCCTACCCCATGCAGGAAGATGTATTTCTTTTTCCTTTTTTCCTATTTTAGCTTGGCCCAAACTAACTTCGCAGGGTCCGAGTTTCTTTTGTTTTGTTTCCTACTTTTAATAAATGTAAAACTTCACCATTAAAAAATGTAATGTATTAAATTTATTCTCATTCACGTATCTCCACGTGGCTAGTGGCCACCGTACTGGAAAACACAAGTCCAGAGCTTGGTGATTACCTCACCTTGGTCACTTTTCTTCATCCCTCAAGCACAATATTTACACCCACAACTCGGGTGTGGGTGTAAGGGGAACAGGTTTGTATGAATTCGAGCTCTGGAAGTTTTAGTCCACAGTTGGCAGACTCTAGGAGAGAAGCAGCAAGGCAGAAGTGTCCAGCAGCGGACAGACGCTCACATCGTGGTGGCCAGAGAGTCACCACAGCAGGGTGGAGGAGAGCAGGCGGGAAATAAACTTCTCCAGGCCACGCCCCAGGTGACCACCTCTAACCAAGCCCGGCCTCCAGTCCATCAACTATGAGCTCTTAGTGGGCTAATCCACTGGAGCCCCATGAGCCAATCACCTTCCACATGCGTGGGGCATTCGGGGGACACTGCAGACCCAACCATAACTCACACCCCATGCACAACAGCCAGTCACCAAGCAGCAGGAGGGGGAGGCTGCCTGATGCCACGAGTCCACACCAGTTTCCCATTGTTGCCGCAACAAAATACCACAGCCGGAGTGGGTTCAAGAACCCAACTCCTCACCTGCCAGGCTTGGGCACCCGATACCCAGCACGCGTTTCACAGGACTGAACTCCTGGTGCTCAGGCTTGTGTTTTCTTCTGGGAATTCCAGGGGAGTTTTTTCTGCCCTCCTTGGCTTGGGGACCCTTCTTCCACCTTTAAAGCCAGCGGCACAGCATGTTAACGAACCTCTGCTTTGTCACATGATCCTCCCTCTAATAAGGACCTTGTGGTTACATTGGCCCACCAAGACAATCACCTTCTCTTAGTCACTTTCCATGTGGCTGCGACACAATACTTGACCCCGCAACTTACAGGAAACCAGGTTTGTTTGAGCGTCTCACCTCAACCGTCTTAATCATGCCTGTGAAGTCTTTTAGTCAGACAGAGTAACACACTCGAGTTTCTGGAGCAGGGAGACATGCACATCTTGCGGAGTCGGGGGATTCCTGTCACCATGCCACAGATCAGATTGATCTCTACAGCCACCTCTGCACCCTGACCTCCAGGGGTCTACCCTATGGGGGCTAGCATTGGGTAATAATCAAGGGCATGCTGCCTGCTCAAGCCTCAGGGTACCACCTGCTTCTCCACTCTGCTGTAGGTCGGGAAGCTCACAGCTCAATTCCCTCCCTGCTTTCCTCTGGTAAAGCTACACAGCTAAGCTGCCTTGAGTCACCAGGGTCTGACAAGGGTCCCAGCATGGCTCCACTAACCTTTCCTCCCACCTTCCCACCGGTTTCCTTCCTGGGATCTGCATCAGAAAATGAGGAGTGTCAGGAAGACACTGTGGGGCTGGAGAGCCAGAAGAGGTCCGCTGGTGGGTAGGACGCCATCCTCCTGAGGAGTAAAATTCGAGCTAAGACCTGAGTGATGAGAAGCAGCAGCCACACAAAGGGCTTGGGCCAAGAGTGCTCCAAGAGGAATGGAAAGGTTGTGCAAAGACCTGGAGGCTGCCACAAACTGGCTTTTATTCAAGGGAGAGAACAAGGTACTAAGATGGCTGGAGTTAGGAGAGCAAGGACAGGAGTGAGACAGACACAAGTGAGAAAGTAGAAAGCGGGGCAGACCCCAGCAAGGCAGTGAAATCACTCCCACGTGGGGACCTCAGGGAGGGTCCTACCTACAGAGAGTGAGCTGTGCCAGTGGCAGGGAACAGGCCCCAGCAAGGGATGTGGGGTGGAACGGAGAGGTCTGTCCCAGGGGACAACGGAGACTGGCTCAGGAGTTTGACACCTGATTGTCGTCAAGGAAGAGTCATCCCACTCAGGATCACCCACTATCCCCACATCCGCAGGTGTGCTAAGGGTGTCAGGCTACTGAACAGGGCACAACTCACAGGTGCAGACAATGAAATCCTCACTGGCTTCCTTCACCCACCCCACTAAGGCAGTTGACAAACTGTGCTAGGAATATGAGATCAACCACAGCCTAACTCAGATGACCTCAGGCTTCTGCTGAAGATCTGCCCATGGCTTCCCAGGCACTGGGGAAAACATTCAGTGTTAAGGGAACCCAGTAGCTGTACTGAACACATCCCCAAATCTCACTGGCTAAATCCAAAAGAGATTGTTTCCTTGCATATCTGAATTCCAAATAAAGTATCCCTAATCCAAGGGCAGCTCAACTCCAAGCAGTTTCACATAGATTTCCACTCCTTCCTTCTGATGACTCCACCATCTTAAACCAATGGCCTCCAATGGCACCATATTGAAGAAACAATGGGGACTATGGAGGTTGGCAGTTGCCATTGGCTAGAATGATCACATGACACCACACTTGCTGCAAGGGAGGCTGGGAAATGTAGTCCAGTTGTGTGTCCAATGGGATGAGGACGATATCTAACAGGCTCTGCCCTTCATGCTTATGAAATCCCACACAAGGTGACCTTTGTTTACATCTCTGCCTCCAGTGCTTACTCATCTCACCTTCCTCCCTCACTCACCATCCCTCAGCCTCCTTTCTGCCATTTATAGCAATCCTCAGCTTCACAAGTTCTTCCTGCCTTGGAGACTTTGTGTCCTTCCTAACTATTCCCGTTTCACCTGGGAGGCTCATCCCCTGGTGTCTCCAAAAAGACTGAGTTCTCCTCATGAAAGTGACCCCCCATGCCCCCGACAAACCCAAGCTTCTGGCTTTTCCCACCCTGCACCTCGACTGTGGTTTTCCCTGAACCAGTGGTATGGTCCGAATTTACACTGTTCATTTGTACACTTATTGCTTCTTCCCCCTATTAAAATGCAGACATCAAGAGCATGGCAACCTCTCTGGTGCGTTCTCCGCTGTATCCTCTACCACAGCACACAGGAGGCCTCTGCTGGATGAAAGAACCACTATTCCCAGCTCACCTGGGACTTCCCGACACAGCCTGGAGCACAAGCCAGAGGGTGAGTTTTGCATCCAGGAAGCCTACGTCAAATCTCACTTCCATGGGGCTTGGGATGGAAGTCTGCTCGCCTTTCTAGCCTCTGGGGCCCTAGCTGTGCACTGCATGTGCATTGCCTGGTCCTGGTGAAGCCTGGCAGTGAGTCTGCGAGATGCCTGGGACCTTGCAAGCCCGCAACTGCACATGCAGGGCGAGGAATGACTGTGTTAAGTTATGTGGGAAAAAGCTGACTCCTTGCCGGCCCCTGAGCCAGGGACTGCTGTGAGTGAGGGACTGTGGTGGTCACCCTGTCATGGCGGAGGGACGGCTGTCACGCCGTGTCATGGCACGAATGAACGGGGCTGCCAAGTTGAATGAGGAAAACCACGGCCTGCCTGCCTAACTTGAACTTCAAAGAGAAAACCCTTTCAGGTGAAGTAAATCCCACACAAAATCTGACCCAACACGGATAATAACCCTTCCTCCTGGCCCTCAGTAATTCCTGCCTCTACCCTCACATCCCCCAGGAGAACTCAAAACCAGACCCCAGTCAAGACTCTCCTGACCCCAAAGGGAAAAGAACCTTGACTTTGAGCTGAAGTCCTCTGATCACTCAGTCTCTAGATGCCCAGGTTCAGATTTCAGCTCTGCTCTGGGCAAGTTCAGGACCGTGGGAAAGTAGCTTCCTCTCCCCGGGCCCCAGTTCCCCCACCTGAGAAGCAGGAAGTGGGTTCCTGAACGGATTAAATGAAATGGTGTGGGGTGCTTCACTGTGCTGTGCTGCTTCTTGGCTCCCCGACATTGGAACCCTCTGGCCGGGGGAACACAGACCACTCCTCAGGGTTCTAAATCGGGAAGCAATGACTCAAGCAGGCACGGAGCAGAATTCACACCCAAGCCTACCCTCGGAGCCCACGCAGCTGAGTCCACACCTGGGCTCTGCCTGGTTAGGGCACCTGGCTTTCGTAGGTCCTGGCTAGTTCAAGCCTTGCTCTTCAGGATCCCAGAGTCACCCCACCTTCCGTCATGAATCTCTCTGCTGCCGCGGCTGGAGCTCCTTTCCGTGGCACACCCCGGGGCCCTGCCTGGCCCGGAGTCAGAGCTTTCCCTGTTGTCTACATTTCCTGTTTGTATTACTTTGCATCAGGAAGGCCATAAGAAAGGACCGCAAGTGTAGGGACTTAAGGACAGCACCTGCGCGTTCCCCACAGTCCCACCATCCAGAAGTCTGGCCTGACGTGACCCAACTCTGCTTAGTGCCCCACAGCGCCAAAGCCAGGTGCCACTGTCTCCCCTTCCAAGGCGCAGCCCGCTCCCAAGCCATCGGCCTGTCTGCAGAAGTCAGATCTGTGAAGCCGAGAGCCAGCTCCCAGCCTCCTGGCTGGCGGCCCCTTCCGTGCTCAGGCCACCCAGAGACCTTGAGGCTTCCTCAGACTTCTAACCCCACACACTCCCTTCTTCCCTCAGGACCGCACTTCAGGGTTCCCAGGTCGTCCGGAGTTCACCACTGCTGCTCTCCACACCATCGTCACTGTCCCCAACACTGCAGACTCCCTGCCACCGCGCTCCTGCCACCCAAGCCTGTCTCCCTGCCTCGGCCTTTACTTACTGCTGTCTCAAACATCCCGCCTGCTGCCGGGGTCCAGGCAAAAGCTGGTGAGGAATGAGTGGACGCACCCATGCCGTGGGTAGGTCACTAATGCTGGGCGAGTGCTAGTTCTTGTTTCTAGGGTGCCCTGCAGACACAGTGTCAGTGCTCACGCCTCATCCGACGTCAGGAGTGATGTTGTCAGAGAGGTGCTCGTGGCTCCTGTGCTGATTACGGACAGGGCACTGCTCCCTGCGTGCCAGGAGAGGACACTGGTATAGAGGACACGTCTCCTTGTCTCTACCCTTCTTCCCCATAGACAGGGTGACTCCGTCTGGTGAGACCAGCACGGGAGCACGGCACGCCATCCAGGACTTTCTCAGCCACTCTCCTGCTCCCCTCCTGCCCTTGGAAGCCCAGGCCGTTCCCTGTGGCCCAAGAGCGATGACAGTGGGGGGCAGGAGAAGGGGAGGACTGCGGCCATCAGCCCTCGCTCTGCCGGCAATGGCCATGGCCAACAGGGGCATCTGGAGAGAGACGGAGCCAGAACCTCATTCTGGCCTTAAATCCAAGCAATATTCTCATTTTTCCTTTCTTAGCAATGATTAATAATAAAGCTTACTCTTGGGCTGGGCTTTCAATACATTCAGAATCTGAAGCAAAGTGGGAGTCTTCATTACCCTGCCGATCCCAGCCTAGAAGCAAGCTTTGTGTTTTTATAATTATTCTGTGAACAGGAAATTGCCAGCAAACAGCAGCAGCCGCAGTTGCTCACTCCCCGGGGAAAGGTTTCCCATGAGCCTTCGCCTGCACCTGCAAAGCCTGCGCACCTGCGTCTCCTGCAAAGGGGCGCGCGCCACAGATCTTGTACGCAAGGCCTCGAGACACTGCAGGTTTAAACTGCCTTTCCTGGTGTGATTGACACGCGGGTACCGCGACCTATCTGGCTGCCTCACATCCCTGGACGCCCCTCCTGCGTCTGACCAAGTTCCTGTTTTCGGAGGCTCAGTGAGGTGAAGGTTACCATAGAAATCAGGTATTCACTTCTCTTGCGCTAGGGGGCAGGAATTGGACCATCTATTTGGACAAATCCCTGCCTAACTCTGACCCCGGTGCAGATCCCACAGGAGGTGCATCCTGAGAAGCGCAAGACCTCGAACATCCAGAAGCAGCCTGACAAATGTCATTAATGTCCGATTCCCGATACCAACCTCTCACACCTGGCAGGATTCAGGGCACTGTTTGCGACTACTAGAGCTGGCAGTGAAGGTCTGTTATAGTTTGGATCAAGAGCACCCTCCACAGACCTTCTGTTCCCGCAGGCAGGGCTCCTGGGGTGACTGAATCACGACGGGACACAGCTGACCGCTAAGGGAAGGTGACGTCTGTTTAGAAGCAGCGGTCGCAGGTGTGACCTGGAGGTCTCATTCCTTTTCCCTCTGACTTCCGGCCTCTGTGGTACGAGCACTTTTCCTCTGCTCTGCATCTCTCTCCTTCCTGAATCTGCAGGCCCTGGATACCTTGTCCCCGGGATACGAAAAATGACTAAGCCAGACTTGGGTAGCAAGAGTGAGGTCATTTCTGTGAAGACAGCTGGTCACGTGGTTAAGAAACCTCTGGAACTGCTTTGAGAGAAGAGTTTGGAAAGGTTTGAGGATGTCAGCTAAGGAACCCCTAGAATGCTGTAATCCAAGCTTGATGAAGCTTCTCACTGCAAATAAAAACTCAGATGACAAACCCCAGGATCGGGGAGCTTCAGGTGGGAACAAAAGTGTCCTTGGAAGTCAGGCTGCATGATGTGTTATGTCTGGCAGAAAGTTTATCTATATGTTGCTCAGGTCATGAGACTGAGATTAAAGGCCATGAACCAATTAATGTGATGAAAGAAATTTCATGACACCCCAATGCTGAGGCCATGGCATGCATTCTGGTAGTAGCTCTTGGCCACGTCTATCTTGAGAAGCAGGACGGAAGAGCAGAGCTAATAATGTGAAAAGTTTTTCTGGTGGCCAGAAAAGAAGCACCAATAAAATTGGGGCCTAGAGATTTTGACCCAAGACAGCTTAGTTGCTGAAAAGAGCCAAGTACTTTGTAAAAAGACAACAGGGAAGATGAATTGAGAGCAGTTCAGGAAGAAATAAAACCCACACTTCACCCAAAATAAAAGACTTTGCTTTGAGAGGAATCCACCTAGAAATTGTGTTCCCTAAGATTTACCTTGTAGTGCACAGCAGGTAGAGGCCTCTGCAACCAGGTTCCAGCGGGGCCTGGCCACTGCTCCGGTGGGCAGCAGACCTTGGTATGATCCACATGATGTTGGTTTTACAAGTATACAGGATGCAAAAGTTGTAGGGACTTCTTCCTAGAATTCAGAAGAAGGCCTAGAAGACCAAGCAATGTGCCCCTGAGAGGGCAGTGCATGAAGCCATGAAAATATTGCATAAAGTACAATGAAGGTCCAACGAATTTGGAGAAGCCAGGAACAGGGAATGTCTCACGAAGAAAGCCACAGGCAGTGAGCAAGTCCACAGAAAAGCCATGCCGGCTACAACCAGCAATGCTATAGAGACACGGCCACACAAATTGTTTGGCATTTGCCTCTTTTCCCAAAGTGGTGGATGTGTTGCCATGGGACTTAATGTTTGTTCTGCTGGAGACTGGACTTGTGTTGATGCCTCCTTTCTATTTCCCCTACTCTTCCATTTTGAAACAGGAATATTCTCCCTATGCCATTGTACGTGGGAGCTGTTCCACACTCTTTGTTTTTTATAGGTGCTCACAGCTAGAAGTTTGCTTTGAGTCTCAGAGGAGACTTTGAATTTGGACTTTTCGGCAATGCTTGAACTATTAAGACTTTGGCAACTCTTAGGGATGGACTAAGTGCATTTTCATAAAGAGATGGGCACGCGTGTCTTGGAAACCAGGGGTGGGAAGCTGTGGTTTGGATTGAGAATGTTCCTCAAAGGCCGTACGCAGTCATAGGCAGGGTTTTTGGAAAGTGGTTGAATCACACTGGCAATACATGATTGCTGCTACGAGGCGGGTCTGGTTGGAAGATGCAGGCCACTGGGGCATGACCTGGAAGGACATGTCTGTTGCCCTGGCTCCTCCTTTGGCTCTCTGCTTCCTGGCTGCCGTGACCTGAGCAGCTTTCCTCTGCCCAGGCCCGTCCATAATGATGTTCCTGTGTTTAAGCTGGCTGAACCCGGACCTAAACCTCTGAAACACGAGTCACAGTAGACCTCTCCTCCCTCCAGCTGTGCATGTTGGGTATTGTATCCCAGGAAGGAGAAAGAGATGAAGATATGTCCCCACCTGGCCAGTCCTCCACAGAATTTTGCTTCTTCCTGTGTAGTCTCAACATCTGACCCTCCTAAAGATTCTGTGCTTACAAAGTAGCCTTGAAACAGTGTCCATTACTGCTGAGAAGAGGCAGAATTTTCTTCCAGTGTTTGAAGCTCAGAACTCTGGCTCATCAAGCCTTAGAAATGACGTCCCTGTGGGCCACAATCACCATAAAAGCCAAGGCCAAGTCTGCCTTGATTACCACTGACAGCGGCCCTGTCTCCTCCTTCCGTGTTTCACTCTAACTCCTATCAGTCAAGAATCCTTTGGTCACAAATGGCAGAAACCCAAAACAGACGAAGGGAGACCCCAAAAGAGAATGACTCTGAGCACCCTAAAGTTCCGGGGTAGTGCTCATTGTGGGGACTGCGGGCTCAGGGACCGGAGGACACTGAACAGAGTCCACACAGGCAGGGTTGTCAGTGAGGGGGACAAACGCAGGAGGAGCTCTCCCCTACTTTCTCCACGAGTCACAAGGAAGAAACAAGAGAAAGCTAACATGGGCGGGCGCTCTGAGGACAGCCAGCCCCGCTGGAGCTCCCGCCTCCTCCTTTCCCCCCGCGTCATCAACACGGCAGGAGCAGGAGGCCTCCCGTGCACTCGACGGACTCCTGTCTTCCTTCTAGAATGGAACAAAAACAGGAGCTTAATAAAGGCAAAGGGCCCGGGCACAGGAGTCTGTCCGACCTGGGTTCTGCCATCAGCTATTTCTGTGATCAGACAAACGAAGGTCAGCGTTGGCTTCTCCCCCAAAAAGCCCTGCTCTTCCGCTCAGCCTTCATTGTGTGCCTTGTTTGTACCTGGCCTCACTCAGATGAGAGCTGCTATATGGTCCTGACGCTCGTGTGTCCGAGCTACTTCGGGAAACATTATATTGTCCAAATCCTACAAAAGTCTCTAATTTGTCCTTCTTTACAGCTGAGTAGTGTTCCATTAGGTATAGACACAACAGTTTCTTCATTTAATCATCTGATAAGATTGAAATATCAACAAGATGCAAATATCAACAAGAAGCAGATTTAGAGGAAGGAAGGGGATTTAAAAAGACAGAATCCAGATGCATTATGTACAAGTGCCCGCTCCCCAAGCTGAATGCAAGCTGCATTGCTGCAGCCATGTGCTAACAAAAAAAAAAAAGAGAGAGAGAGAAAGAGATACGGAGAACGGGAAAAAAGTCCCCGCCCAGTGGAAAAGCCAGCTACATACCAGGACAAAAATAAACAACAGGGCCTGAGATTTAGCTCAGTGGTCCAGCGCCTACCTGGCAAGTGTTAGGTTCTGAGTGTGATTCCTAGTACCAAAAATAAATGCATAAATGCAGAGGACCTCCATCCATAGAAAGAAAAATAAGGTTAACCCACACTTCCACAGCTTCACCTTGGCAGAGAGGCCAGGGCACTAGACCTGGGGACCCGAGTAGAAGAGGTAGGGACCGTGTGAGGAAAGGCCACTAGAAATCCATGCATCCCGGGTCTCTGGGTAAATATGAACCTGCACGTGAGGGGGCCAGAAGAAGACACCCACAAAAACAAGCAAACGTACAAAAGGTCACCAGACAGCTGCAGGCCACACGACTCTCAGAGCTGGCGGGGGGCTGCGAACATCCAGGTCCCCAGGAGCTGGGCAGGGTAGACAGGCGCCGCCACCCACGTGGGGAACACAGTGGTGCCCACGGAGCTCACACTGCCAGGACAGGGCTCGGTCAGCACCTGAGTGATGGATCTTTAGCTACTTAAATGTCAAGACGGGACCCCAAAAAAAGAAAGCTGCGTGCAGTTTAACTCCCTATCAAAACAAAGCCCCCCTTCTTTTACACATATATATATTATATACATTATACATACTATGATGTGCATCTGAACTTTCCAAAATACTGGGCGTCACTGTATGATTTTCCTACATGCATATAACGCCTTTCCGTCACATCCCCTCCGCTGTTAGCCTCCCTCACACCCCTCTTCACTTCCTCTTGTCTAATGAGAATCTTCATGTTTTCATGTCATCTTGGTTGTTTTGTTTGTTTTATAGGTCCTGTGTATTGGGGGAAATACGCAATACTTGTCTTTCTGAGGCTGGGACTTTTTGTTTAACATCATGGCCCTGCAGTTACAGCCATTTTCCTAGAAATGGAATAATTCTGCAGTTCTGTATAATGATAATCCTCCACTGTGTCTCTATACTGTTGGGCGCAGGCGCTCAACATACCATACCCCACCCGGGACTAAGGACCACGCCAGCTTCCGCAATGCGCTACGTCCCTCTTTAAATTAGCCAACCCGTGCGCACTTCGTGCTCACTCCATACTCTGTGGCAACTGCTGATTGGCCACAGCTGGATATAGTAGCCAGAGCCTGCGTCCCATTCCCGCCCTGCTTCCTTGTGGCAGCCTGTGATTGGTCACGGCCAAATATATAAACCAGAGCCC